ATATATATATATATATATATATATATATATATATATTGTAAAGCGACAAAGCCGTTCTAAATCTAATGTTGTTCTTTGTAGTGAACGGATTTCAAGTTTACAAAAGGTAAACAACGATGATAATTACCAATTTATAAAACTTGTAGGTAAAGAACTAAAATGTCAAAATCAAATTGTACAGGAGATACATATTAGGTTAGTTTTCTCCATGGTCTGGCTAAAATATATAGTGCCACTTGTTGTTTTAAAATAAATGATTAAAGAAGGAAATTCAGAAATTGAAGAAGTGAAACTAAGAGAATTTAAGATATAATGCTCTAATTTGATTTTATATTCATTTTCCATTTTATAATAGAAATTTTAAAAATAACATTCCACATGGAATTGTCCACTTAAAAATTCAATATTTCATACTACTTAATTTAGTTGTCTGATCATAATTTTAAATGGCCACTTAATGTCAAGCCACTCAAGATTTATTTCCACTGCCTGGACTTGTTGCATGCAGCAAGTGCAATTCATAACAATGAATGATCAATTACTCAAAATGATTTAGGGCAGAATATTGCAATGTTAATAAATTTAAATTACTTACTAGTATGGAATGAAATATATAAGCCACATAAATGAATATAATCAAACCAAATGATTAAAAGTTTATCAATACAATTTACAAAGTCCACGGAATGGATTATTAAAATAATAATAATATTTCTTAAATTCATTTAAACTGAAAAGCCATCTAAGAGAGATCTTGAGAATTGGAAAAGGAGAAGAAGAGTATAATTCAAACAATTACTATGATAATACTAAAAAAAGAATAAAAACTATGAGAAAAGTAATACTAAATAACACGTTTATGTGAATTCTTACAACAATAAATTGTTATAATACACATCATACAGGCCATATCATAGTAACAAATTTAGGATTTAAGATCACTCCACTTCACACAGGAACATACCTTGCTGACATATCATAGCTGCGAAATATTTTCGGTACAGAATGTATTATACAATATATCTGCGCTGATGGAATCGCTTTTCAAGTTTACCCTTAGTGAGACTTAAATACAGTACCTTATTTCATAGAAATTAACACTAAATTACACATTCATCTGATTTAGATTGCATATTCCAAATTACACTTTTACAAGATCCATAACATAACTGTTGGATTTGTTCTGAAACTTTAATGCAAGGAACTCTTTGTACGTGATTCCACGGATTTTTGTAGGGCTATCAGAGCTAGCGAGCAACTTGAGCGCAGGAGCAATAGCAAAGCTTTCTAATGATGGCGTTATTGGAGTCAAAACAGAAATTCTTGTGCTTTCATTGTTAACCATGACCCTATGCACTATGCTCTTATACCTCCCGTTGCTCATAATCTGCAACAATATAATACACAATATTTAAAACAGTAGAATTAAATTCTTTAAATAAGATTCTACATTTAAATTGATATTATTTTAGTTAGTTGATTATGTATATAATAGCTTATGGGATATTCTTTTTATAAAATAACATTAATACAGGCTTGTCGTGCAACTTTCAAGTTAAAGCACATATAGAAATGATAATTTCACTTGTGAAATATAAAGATATATTTTTTATTTGAAAAAGAAAATAATTCTGAGAAAAAGCTTGAGAATAGAAAATACTTGTAGAAACAAAATTATTGCACCTATACTAAATGCCTTTTGTTCAAATAAAATAATCTATTCCTAATTTTAAACAAATGAAATTATAATAACATATAAAAGCATTGAAAATGATATTTTGAATATTTACTTCTAAATATTAAAGATAATATCACTCTAACGGTAATTAACCCTCAGCTAATAATAGAGAACGAGTGAGTGCACTGAATACATACCTCAAGTATATCTCCTGCAAATAAGAGAAAAGAGTCAGGGATGAGTTGGAGGACGACCCATTTGCCATTGTGAAGAACTTGGAGGCCATTGAAGCCTTTGTTTTGTGTGAGAAGAGTGACATAGCAGGGATCAGAATGAGGAGGTAACCCCAAGACTAGCTCTGGTTGTGGGCACGGAGGATAGAAATTTCCTACCAGATTTTGACGGATTGAATTCGGTTCTAAAGCCCCTTCCATGAAACTTTCGTCCAGCTCCAGGCTTTCCCAGATTGCTTTGAGTAGTTCATTGCAGATCTCTCTGGTCTGTCGTGCATACTCTTCAGATATTGCTCTGTTTATGAGAATACAACAAGTTTTGATTTTGTTAAATCTAATGATTGCTAAGCGGATTGGGAGTTCATAGAGTTAGTTTGATGTTTTGGATGATTTTGAGTAATGGTTGGTGCCGCTTGCCAACAATATATCTGAGAAGACTGTAGCTTTGAAGAAGAGAATAAATTTGAGCTATCCATGACAGATGGTTCTTGGGTGTGAGTTTAGAAGGGTGTTGTCAGGCAAAGTAGATGAACATGAGAGATGGAGGTGTGGTGGTGGCAGCCATCAAGAAGGGCAGTAGTAGCTAGTAATAGTGCAGGAAAGACGAGGAAAAGAGAGCTTGTTTTGATACCATAAATTAATAAACATTTTTAATAGTTCCACATGATGAAAAACTTCCAGAATGCATTTCCAATAGGTTGGAGGGACGTGTACACATGTGTGGTAGGAAATACAAGTGTAGCCTAGCTCATGAGGAGGTAGCTGTCATTCATAAATAATGAGGTGGATAATTTGACTTTTTGTCAGTTCAATTCGAAAAACTTTTTAGCCAGTTTTCTGATTGATTTTCCCTGCTTGTTGCCATGAAAAAGGGATAAAACTCATTAGGAATTTTTTGCACGAGAAATGATTACGGATCACTGTTTGATTATAAATAATAGGATTGATGACGGACCATCTTTTCTGAATGGAAGGAGTTCCCTATAATAACTCTTAAAGTTTACATAAGAGTATGCAGGTTATTCAAATTCATCTAGGTCTTAAGACACCTTAGGGATAGTTTTGTTTAGAAATAAGAGGAAAGAAAAAATAAAGTTATACCTCCATTATAAAAACTTGAAAATGGAGGAATAAATTAAAAGAGGACATTTGAGTTTGAAATTGTGGAGAGAGAGGGAAAGAAAAAAAAAATGTGGAATATTATATTGAAATGGTGCAAGGGGCAACGTCAAAATTATTAATTAGATCGTTCCTTAAACAAGTGGGATGGCTCTCAAGCAGATATCTTTAAGGGTAGTAGATAACTTCCAATATTGATTTTATTTTTTAATGTATTACCTTCATAGTGTGAACTTTTATTTTGTTTGGCTTGAGAGATTCAAGCTTCCCATTTTGTTGGGACTAAGCATATTTAAGCTTTAAGAAAGTATGTACTTGTGCTCATTAAATTCATATATATATATATATATATATATATACCATTATATATATATATATATATATATTGCTTTCCCATAGTTAACCAAATCCAGAATACACTCATATATAGGAATGCTTATTTATCTAAACCACCAAAATGTGTCTTCTCATGGTACTCAATCTATTTTTATTTCGTTATATCTACATTGCATTCACTTTCGTTGGCGCTTTCACAGAAAAAGTTAAGGAGCTGCTTCGCTCCAAATGAGAATTAATAAATTGCAAAAATCATAAATAAAAAAATTCTTGGACGGGTAACTCATGAAATGTAAGAATACCGTGTGCAGCTTTGGGTACAATACATTGCTAATTAATTGCACAAATCAAAATTACTATAATCAACAAAATATAATCAACTTCATCCAAAAATTTTTTAGGAGAAAATTTAAGTTAAAATACCTTGATTCAAATATGGTTAGAATGTTCTTTAGAGTCACCAAATTTGCATTGAGATGAGTACAATACATAGCTAATTAATTAAATTTATTTTGCAGTTATCTCAAAGCAATTGTGATAGCTATAAAGCCCCTCCTAATCAAATTTGGCTCAAGATCTTCAAACCTTTTTTTAATTTTTTTATTCTTATGGAAAACACATTATTTCATGCTTTGTTCCACTCAAGGCTATCATGAACTTGATGACAAAAGAATGAGAACCCTTTGCGATGACTTCGATACACACCATGACCAAAATCAGTGAACAAATGACACAAAATAAGTGGGAAAACCCAAATTAGGGCTAATTTTACTAATTTCCAAGCAAAACAATAAGATAAAAGGTTGATCTACAATTCAAGAGGTTGATCGACCCTCTACAAATCCTAGGAATTACTAGTAAGAAGACTCCAGAAGAAAAAAAACCTGTCTAAAAACATAACATAAAACAAACCCTAGCAAATTATCCCTAATAATAAGTACTCCATAAGATACAATCAACATCCCCCAAAACCCCCTTACTTTCCTCTCCTCGCGTACGTGATTACTGGCTTCATGAGTCCCACACAGGGGCTGGCTGCTCGCTGGTTTGGCTAGGCTGGGCAGGGCCGAACTAATCCAGGGAGGACCGGCGTATCAATACTCCACAACCAAAGAAGCACCTTGTCATCAAGGTGGAATGATGTAAATTACTTTTAGATCACTTCATAAGGTTCCCAAGTTGCTTCATAATTTAATAGATCTTTCCATTAAATCAGCACTTGCTTTGCTCCACTCACTTGGCGCACCTCTTGTATCTCCAAATGTTCCAAAATCACCTCCATGTCCTCTATCAACATCAGAGGTAGTGAGAACGAGGGTGCGTGATCTCTGATAACAAGCCTTAGCTGTGATACATGAAATACTAGATGCAATGATGAGAATGGTGGTAACTTCAAATAGTATGTCATTGTCCTAATGTGTGCCACAATCTCATAAATTCCAAAATAATGTGGGTAAAGCTTCTCACTTCTCCTTTCAACCAGTATTTTCTGTCGGTAAGGTATAAGATTCAAATAAATCATGTCTCCATGCTCAAATTGTACCACCTTCCTATGTCCACCTGCCTTCCTTTTCATGATTTGTTGGGTACTCAGTAGATATCCCTCGAGTTTTGCCAATATCATATCCCTCTCATGCAAGTACTAGTAGTTGGATAGTGGTGTAGTGCTATGCACATAGTATATCAGTTGAGGTGGATCCCGCTCATATACACTCCTGAAAGGAGTGGTCTGGTTTGCAATATGTTATGAAGTGTTGTACCAATACCTAGCCCAAGCAAGCCACTTTGCCCAAATTTTTGGCGTATCTGATACAAAAGAATGCAGGCACATCTCCACACTCATTTTGATTATCTTTGTCTGACCATCTTTCTGGGGATGATATGGTGTGCTCCTCTTTAGGACCGTCCCTTGTAACTTCAATAGTTCCTTCCATAAATTGCTAAGGAACACCTTGGCCCTGTCTGATACAATAGATACTATAATACCATACAAACAAACCATTTCTTATATGAATACCATGACAACTGAGACAATAAGGTAAGGGTGTTTGAATGGAATGAAGTGTTTAAAATTTCTCAGACAATCCACTACCACCAATATCATAGTAAACACCTCTGATCGTGACACTACCTCTATAAAATCCATTGCCACCTCATTCCAAATCTTCTCAAGTAAAGCTAGGGGTTGTAGTAACCCTCTAGGTGCAACGGTCAATACTTGTGTAGTTGGCACATGTCGCATCCCGCCACCATGTCCTCTACATCTTTATGCATCCCTACCCAATACAGCTTGTCGACGGTTAACTATATGACTTTTGTTCCCCTGAATGCCCCTAATCGCGTTGCCATAAAACAAATGCAACAGTTTGAAGATATACCATAATACCCTCGGTAACACAAATCATCTCTAGTAGCGTAGTTGTTGTCCCCTCAATGCGTATCCAAGATGACTGTTCGGATCCTGTAGCAACTCTGTCCTAATCTTCCTCGACCATTCATCCTGCTAGCTCTCCTTCCTAGGGGCTTCCCAATCTAAAACCAGGAGAACTGATAATGTAATCAGTTGAGGCTCTTTCACCTTCCTCGACTGTGCATCTTCGGTTTTATGCTCTAATCCTGAGTGGTATTGAATCTCAAAATCATATCCAAGTAATTTGGATAGCCGCTTATGATGCTTCTCAATCACCATCCTTTGCTCCGACAAATACTTTAAGCTCCTTTAATCTGTCATGACTATAAAGTGCCTCCCCAATAGATAGGGACACCACTTCTGAATGACCAAGACAATAACCATCAATTCCCACTCATACACGGACTTGAGAATCTCCTTGGCCTTGAACACGTAGCTAAAATAGGTAATAGGTCGTGGGGGTCCTGCAATTGCACTGCCCCCAAACCATACCCTAATGCATCCATCTCTACCACAAATGGCCTACAAAATTTGAAAGTGTTAATACCGGAACGCTGGTCATGACTCTCTTCAGCTGTTCGAAGGCTTGTGTTGCTTATTCCCCCTATTGAAATTATCTCTCTTCAGTAGCTTTGTCAATGACCATGTTATCGTATCATACCCTCTCATTTCAACTAAGCCTAAGAATCCACTCAAACTCTCTCAAGCTCCTCGGCAAAGGACAATCCAACATAGCTTCTATCTTAGATTGATCTGCTGCTACCACTGTCCTAATCACTACATGCCCTACATACTCCATCTGTGACAGCGCAAAAGAAAATTTCTTCAAGTTAGAATACAACTGGTGCTCTTTCCAAGACTCCAATACCATCCTCAGGCGTCGCATATGCTCCGCCTCCATACAATTGTATAATAGGATGTCATAAAAAACCAAGACGAACTTCCTAACGTAAGGCTGAAAAATCCTATTCAGGAGAGATTGAAATGTAGTAGGAGCAGTAAGGTCGAATGACATCACGAAAAACACGTATGTCCTTCATGAGCCTCAATGCTAACTTGTGTACATCACTTGAATTCATCCAGATCTAATGTTATCCCAACTTCATATCAATTTTTGATAAGATGACTGCTCCATAAAGTTTATCCAATCTCCCATCAATCACTGGGATAAGAAACTTGTCACATACAGTTTCCTTGTTCAAAGTCCTGTGGTAGACGCAAAATCTCTAGCTACATTTTTTTTCTTCTCTAATAAAACTGGACGTAATAAGACGCTCACACTGGGCTTGATAAACCCTTTTTTGAGCATCTCTTGGATCAATTTCTCTATCTCATCGTTATGAATTTGATGATATTGATATGGTCTGATACTAATAAGAGTAACTACTTCCTTTAACGTAACAACATGCTCAGAGTTGGCAGCCCACTAA